AGAATGTAACCACCATCTAGGTCAGGAAATAGAACACGATCAGCTGCTCCCATCCACCCTCATGGACCTTCTGTGTGTCCTTCCTCATCACAGCATCTTCTTACCTGAGGTGGCAACTGCCCTTCTGACACCCTAAATAATCCCTAAGGAATATAGTCATGCCTGTTATTATACTTATTGTAAATGGAGTTATATGATCTATATTCTTCCCTATTTCTCCTTTCATTCAACATTTTGAAAGCTTTATCCATATTGTGCGTGGCTCTATTTTGTTCATTTTTTGGATGCATATTTAAATTTTTATATGTTGTATAATTCAAAATAGTGTTAGGACTTGCTTTTCTTACTCAATATTATATGTGTGAGATCTGTCTGTGTTTTTAAGAGTAGCTCTAATTCATTCATTTTTACTGCTGTACTGTAACCCATCAAATCAATGTACAGCCATTTATATTTCCAATTTGGCTCCTCTGTTGATAAATATGTACATTGTTTACAATTGTGTCACCATGTCAAACAAATCTGCTCTCACCGTTCTTGCACATGTCTTCTTGTATATGCGTGCAAGAGTTTTTCTAAGTCATTAACAACTTTACCAGATGATGCCAGGATTCTCTCCAAACTGGCTTACTATAATGCATCCCAACCAGCAGTGCCCAAAGATACCCATTTTCCAAACATCTTCATACCAATTATTCCAGGACTTTTTAATGCTCGCCAATACAGTGGGGTGCAAGGTTAATGCACTCTGGTTTTAAGTTCCCTTTCCCTGATTACTAATGAGTTTGGTTATCTTTTGTATTTCCTAGACCTCAACTATTTTTCATATTTTAACTGCTTATCCATGTCATTGTCCGTTTATCTACTGCATTGATTTTTTTGTTGATTAGCATGAATATTTAGTATTCTGTATACTAATCTTTTGTTGAGTATACGTGTTGAAAATATCTTCCCCCAGTCTGTGGATTGTCATTGTACTTTGCTTTGTCTGTCAGCACAGAAGGTTGTGGCTTTAAGGTTGTTAAATTCATCACAGTGTCTATTCTCCTAGACGCTTTGTGATTGTGTCTTGTTAAAGTAATCCTTCCCTCTCCTAAAGGTTAGAAAGGTAGTTTCCTCTCTTTTCTTCTGAAATATTTGAAGTTTATATTTTCAGATTTAGATCTATACCTGGTGTGTGTGTGTGTGTGTGTGTGTGTGTGTGTGTGTGTTTCAACATGGAATTAGTCCTAGCATCATTTGCTGGAGGAGACTCCATCATCACCACATGGATCTGCAATGCCACTTATGTCACATATTTTTTAAAGATTTTATTTATTTATTTATTTTTAGAGAGAGAGAGAAAGAGAGGGAGAGAAACATCAATGTGTGGTTACCTCTCACATGCCCCCACTGGGGACCTGGCCTGCAACCCAGGCATGTGCCCTGACCGGGAATCGAACTGGTGACCCTTTGGCTTGCAGGCCGGTGCTCAATCCACTGAGCCACACCAGCCAGGGCTTCTGTCACATATTAATAGTCCACATATGTATTGTTTTGTTTCTGGGCTCCCTATGCTGTTCCAAAAGCCTTTCTGTCTACTCCTATACCAACACACCACTGCATTAGTTCCTATGTGTTTAAACTGAATGTTGATATCTAATAGAGCAAGTCCTCCAACTTTGATCTTTTTCACGGGAAGTATCTCTTGCTGCATAAAAAGCACCCCGAAACTTAGTGGCTTAAAGTGACAGCTTTTATTATATCTAGTGACTTAGTGAGTGAGTCATTTGGGCATAGATCAAGTGGCCGTTCCATTGGTACCAACTGGGGCCAGTCAGTGCTTTCAGTCGAGAGCTGGGCTGCACTGGAGGATCCAAGATAGCTTCACTCATATGTCTCGTACCTTCTAGGAGACAGTTAGAAGGCTGGAATCAACTGGGTTTTTCTCCCTAACCATGTAGCCTCAGGGCCAGCTCGCTGGTCTGTCCAGCAGGTATTCAGATTTGTTACATGGTGGCTCAGGGCATGAGTTGCCATATATAGCATATAACAATAGGATATCTCCAGAAAAAATGTTGCTCACATAAGCAACAAATATTGTTTTTAGTGTAAGTATGCCTATACAAGACTTGCAACATACTCATGCTAAAATTTATTTGCTGTTTTTGTGAAATTCAGATTTAACTAGATGTGCTTATTTTATCTGGCTATCTTTTTCAGAGCTTGTACAGCCCAAGACAGAAATTGTAATCTCTCTTAAAGTGTAAAGTTCGACTTAAAGAACACATACTCCTTAAAATGATTTGATTCACATTATAATGACAACTTTGTTTTATTAAAACAAGTATACATACAGCACTATCACCACATACTAATTCTGCTTCAGACATGGACAACATTAATTAATATTAACTTCAGGCAAGCCATTACTTAAGAAAAACTTCGGGGGGATGGGGTAATTGGTTGTTGTAATTTGGGAGTTGGTTTTCTTTTTCCTCTCCTTTTAAATAAAAAGCACACATTACGTACAATTAAGCACATTTACTTATTTTGTTATAGTCAGTGCTTAAAATATAAACTACATGTGTCAAGATTATAGAGTCTTTATTACTATCCAAGAAATCAACTACCACATTATGACCCTGATACTAAACAACATTCCCGTCTGTGTATTCAGATGCCTACTATTGGTAAGTAAATGAGCAGTGCAGAACTTCTATTTATTCACACCTACCACCAAATTAAAGGTTAAGAGTACATATAACATATTTGTCTTTTTCTAACTAACTTACTTCACTCAGCATAACAGTCTCCAGGTCCATCCATGCTGTCGCAAAAGGTAAGATTTCCTTCTTTCTTACAGCGACGTAGGATTCCATTGTGTAAAGTTACCACAGCTTTTTTATCCTCTCATCTACTGATGGGCACTTGGGTTGCTTCTAGATCTTGGCTACTGTAAATAATACTTCAGTGAACATAGGGGTGCCTGTATTCTTTTGAATCAGTGCTTCGGATTTCTTCAGCTATATTCCCAGAAGTGGAATTGCTGTATTACAGAATTGTGTGTCTGAAACGTACATAATCTTATTAACCAAGGTCACCCCAATTAATTCAATAAAACACTTAAGAAGAGTCAATAAACTGTAGATGTAAAATATGTGATAGCTTTACTTCCATTTTACAAAAAAGCAAAAACAAAAAGCAACCTTCCACCAAGTTATCTGAAATAAAATGGTAGACAGCTTTCAAACAATCAACAACTTTGTTTAACAGATCAGCTCCAATATGAACTCTTGCTTTTGGAATTCACTGTACAATTTTCATTCTTCTGTCCTTACTCTTCATGTTGTTCTGCAGTATGTCAGTTTGTTGCCTGTGGTCTTACTTCATGTTATTTCATTTTTTATTGTTTCATGTTCAATTTCTTCTGAAGTCAATCCCTAAAGGTCATAGTCATACCTCTTACTGGCAGCACAAAAATTATAAAACCCAAGCCCTCCTGCCACTGTCTGCCTCTCCTAACATCACTGTTCATCACCAGTGGATATTGCAGCAGCTATGTGAGTCACTTTTGCCCAGTTCATAGAAGTGAAGACACAAGAATAATTTCCCAGAAGTGAAGTCCATCAAATATTGCATTAGCTTCTCCAGAAACTTTGGGATCTCTCATAGGGATGTCTTGTCAAACCTGAGGTCCTCCAGCAGTCTCAGAAAAGTTAAACTGGAAAAATAAGAAGCGGCATGGATCTGTGGTGCTTTTTAGGCAAAGGATTGTAGATAAAGGGGTGAAATCAAATGAGCTTTGGAATGCTATGGATATCTGCATTCCCATCATCTGGACATTACCAGTAATAGAAAACTGAGTAGAATTGGACTTGGAATTCCTTACCCTCCCAAATGTACATTATCTCAATTTTACAAAGAGGAAGAGCTAAGTGTCTCGTCATTCCCACTCCATCAAAGAGTAGGAGGCTCTCCTACTCTTTGACAGGAGACTTTTCCCCCTTTGCATTGGGGAGGCTCATCTACTAAAGCTATCTCTTCCCTTAAACTAGGGGCTTGTTGTTGCATTTTGGTAGGAATGGTTTGAGATTATGTAGAAACAATGAAATTAGGAGGCTCCTTACAACCTGAGCATTAGTGAACCCCGCTGGGTGGGGGAGGATATGAGGTTTGGCTGTGGGTTGTTCCTCTGTAAGCTGAAGATGTTGGAGATCTTTTTGTTTTTAATTTATTGTTGTTGAGTTACAGTTGCCTCGCATCTTGAACCCTAGGTCTGCTCTGATTCTGATGGTCTGTCTCTGTCTTAGTCCTTAGCCTGGTGGACAAAGAGGAGGACATAGAGTGTTTCAGGACCATGGAGAGGTTACCTGGTGCCTCATTCCACGCATGACGTCCATCTCAGCGTCCCAGCACAGACTCTCGTGGGAATTGGATATTGCTGAAATAGAATGGGGAAGGGTACTTCCAGGGTGAGGTTTGGGCTTAGTTCAGAGGAGAGAGGTACAGGTTAGTAAATGTGCAAGTGGTAGACTCAAAGAACCAAAAGTGATGTCGTCCAGGGCTCCCAGCCAGAAGGCACCTATGCTGTACATTCTCTCCAATGCAACCAGCTGTGGTTACCCAGTGCCTCCTCTATGCCAGGCACCGTTTTAGACACAGAGAAAAAAAGCAATGAATTACACCAGGGTTCCCATTAAGGTCCACTCAGGTGGGGTGCTCCTCTCCAGAACCTGGAGGTGGTCAACCGGTTATTGCCCTAATCTCAACTTGTCCTTCCACTTCATAATCAGCAAAAACCTGGAATAAACCACTCTCCCCAGCCCCGCTAGAAGCCGTAGCGTGGCTTCCAGGCGACCAGTGGTGAGAAGGGAGGGGCAGGGCGGAGGCAGCTGGGACGCCGTGACCTGATTTCATTTGCCACGTTTCTCCTTTCTTGGTCGCGCCCACGTGACCACCTTCCCCTAAATAAAGTTGAACAGTTCTAGGCTGTGCTCAGTTGCTGAGGGAGACAGCACTACCAAGTGAGCTTCCCTGGCTGCAGCAGTCCTCTGCTGGCACCCGACCCCTTCAACACACACACAGACAGCCCTGCGCCCTTGGATCTGAGGCATCATCCAGAGCTCAGCTCAGTTCCTAGTACACGAACCGCACAGGTAGGAAGCCCCGCTCACCCATTAGATGAAAAGGTGGGTGGGTGGGTGGGTGGGTGGGTGGTGGGGCTTTGGCACTGACAAACAGAGCTGGGCTGGGGGTAATGGGGAGTCAAGAGGTAAAGAGCGAGCTCTAGGCATGAAGAAACACTTGTAAGGACGGATGAGGTTTGTGCGTGTGGGTGCTGCTGAGCGCGCGAGGCTTTGGGGAGGCGGCGTTGGACTCCAGATGAGAAAAGTGCAGTGTTCTGGGACTCCAAAAGCCTGGGATTTCTCCCCAACCCAGCTTCAACCTTGCAACATAACCTTGAACCAGGAGGCTGTCTTAACCCCTCTTAACCTCATTTTACCCATTTGCAAGAACCAGGCTCAGGCTCCCGCAGATTTCAGCTAGTAATGCAGCTGAAGGCGCGGAAGAGACAATGGCGGAAAGCGTGGCGCACCTGTGCGGAGGGCTGCGGACTTGAGCGTCCGTGACAGAGCTCTCCTTGAGAATGGGGATGGGACAGGCATACGGGGGCGGAGCCGGGCGTCTACCTCTGGGGCACTCACCCCTTCGTCACCCGCGTTCGGATCCAGCTGCAGCTATGGACAGAGCTGGGGTACTAGGGCCCTACCCCCGGGCTGCTGGGTCCCTGCAGTTGGGCCGGCGTCCAATCGGATTCCTGAGCCCTACTTGTGGCGGTGGGACCCTAACTTGCTAGATAAGGGTCCCCAGAATGCCTAGGCTCCTTCCTGGCCACCCCTCCCCAAGGATGCGTCTGCTCTGGGATTACTGGGAGAAAGGAAGGGGGAGGGGATGAGAGAGTGGGAACCGAAAGGGAGGGAAGCAGTGTCTGTGTGTGTGTGGTGGTGGGCGGTGATACTGTCCCTCCGGAATTCTCAGTCATCCAGCTGGTGCCAAGGACGCCGGTACTAAACCTCCAATCTCTTCACGAGGGCCCTCTACCCCAACACAAATTCTGGAGGTAACAGCTCAGACACCACGCCCCGCCTGGAAAAGGGGTGGGAAAGCAGAAAGCTGACCCTCCGGGAGCCCAGGGACAGTGATCCCCCAGCCCAAACCTGAGAGCGCTTTTGAGACACACAGGTTTCATCCCACATTGAGAGAGGAGTGGTGGAGGGAGGGAAAGGGCAAGGTCGGGTAGGGTGGGGTGGGGTGGGTTGGAGCAGGCACACTACTGGCCTACGGCAGAGGATGGACCCTATTCATTTCAGATCCGTATCTGGCATCTCCGTCTGATGACAGTAGCAGCTGCACCAACCATCTGAATGGCCCAGAAGATGGAAGCCTGAAGGAGAGAATAGCGCCCTGAGACTGTCTGTGCCTTCTGCATTGAACCTCAGGTATCCTGGGGAAGGGTGGAGCCAGGGAAGAGTATAACATCCTCCAGTTCTTCCCTCCGTTTGAATCCTGACTGCCCTACCCCCATTACCTTCATGGAACTATGACACAGTAGTGCTCCTGTCTTCCTATCTTTTTTTTCTATCTTCTTACCTTGAAAGCAAATATCTTATTCTACCCCTACTAGCAATGCATTTTCAATTGCCCTGACTTGGGGGTGGTAATAATTTCCCTCTCAGAGTACCTGCCACCTCCATTTCCCATCAGACCTGAGGTGGAATTCAAAGAAGAAATAATAGTTCAGTGATGCATTCTGGGGGTGGGGCAGATAGGTAACCATTATGGTGATTACCCCACCTCAGATTAAAATGGAAACCAATGAACACCAGCCAATAACCCTGCTTTTGGGTGGGGGTAGGGAATTAATCTGCTAAAGCAATACATCTAGACTCGGGCAAGAGAATAGATTTACAGATAGTTGTGGAGGAATAAAGAGATGACAATAATTTTCAGTGTGTGGTTTTCAAAGATGGTCCCTAAGCGTGTGTAGACCTGCAATGCAACCCTGGCTGTCCCATCTCCCTTCCTTTCTAGTGGCTTTAAGTGGAGACTAGCTCAGCATCAGGCTACCAAAATAAGAAATGTACCAGTGCCTGCCCCTCCCTAGGAGCACTGCCTCAGACAACTGTAGTCATAGAAAACTTGACTGGGGACTTAGAGCTTTAGTGCTATGCTGTTTTAAGGATAGCTGTGTTTTTATGTTATTTTAATACTATCTTCATTTGAAAACCTTTTAGATCCAGATTAATGGAAGACATTTTTATTCCCACCTATGCTAAAGTAACATTAAAATAGACACAACGATCACCAATGACTCTTACAAACTATATAAAAGAGAAAGTTTTAGGCCATGGAGTCTCGATTTCTGCTTTTTTTTCCTCTTGCATGTCTACTGAATTAAAATCCATAATTCGTATGGGAGATAACCCCATAGAGAGGGGTTATAGGGTAGAGAGGAAGGGCATGGGAGGAGGGAGTGAAGACCAGAACATATCCTTAGGGGCAGCGGTAAGTGATCAATTTGAGTTGGTTTTAGCAAATTCTTGGAGCTTCATATGCTGTATTTCAGGAATGAGAAAAAGAACAAGCCAATAGACTTGAACATGTGACACGTACACTGATAGGACTCATTTTCACGATGGTACCTGAGACAGGGTACTGAGGTCAGGAGGCTGGAGGCCTTCCCTGTGTCTGCATAGCTGAATCCCTCCCCTCTGTATCCTCTTCATGCACCACACACACACACACACACACACACACACACGTGCACGCACATATGCACATGCACACACATTTTAGTTTGATGAATATTTGTTGGATTCACTTGAAATCAAGGAATAAGTGCTTAGAATTGGCATAGTACTGATTTTATGTGCGGCCTTCAATTACCCCACCCCCTCCTTCATTCCCTGTCCCTTAGAATTTCTGCTTAGAGTTTAAACTTTGCTAAACAGAGGAAATGGGATAGGACATTGAATAGATATAATGAAATCACTAATTGTCTCATTTAAAGCTTCATTATGTGCCCTCTGTTACTCAAAACCAAATCTGTACTTATACTGAATGACTGGTATGGCCAGTTGTGAAAGCTCCTTCTGGTGTAAATCATGATTCACTCATGTGATTTGACAGCGGCATGGAAGACAGCAGGAAGTCCGGGTTTGTTTTCCCTATGTGGGCTACTGCATTACATTAATGAGATTCCAGTTTTGGAGGGCTAAGGTGGGGGACTGGGCACAGAGCTGAATGGGGACAGTTTTGTTTCTGTCTGAGAAAAGCATGTTTTATTTGTAATGAGCTTATTATTATTTTACATGAAGACATTATAGATGGAGAAGAGATTGCCCTGTGGTAGAAACCACCATCCAAGAAGTTTGGCCCCAGCACATGACAATTGGTGACAGAAATTCTTTTGTGGGTTGTAGTCTCCTAGTGGAGCCAAAGTCAGTTGCCATGAGATGATCTCCATGGTCTATTGAGCAGCAAAGGTGAGACTGGCTCTTGGCCACAAACTCGACTTCACAGTCACTAAAATCTGCTTCCATCAATCCGAGGCTGCTGTAAGGAATGGGGACAGTTTTTAAAGGTTATTTGAAAAGCAGTTTGCCAAAGCACACTACTTCCCTTGCTTGCCAAAGCAAGCTCAGCAGCAGTTCTCCCATCCAGACAAGTACTTCATGCTGAATCTTTAATCCATGACTTAACTGGCATTGGAAACTTGATATTTCATTCTCTGCTGCAGGCAGTGTATCACTTTAAAAGTTCCAAACTGGTCTTCCATCTTCCTAGTTGGACTCTCAGCCTGTTAAACTGAAAAATAAGGGGAGTAGGTTTAACTGCTTTAAAGGCTCTGCCAGCTATGACAGCCTAGGATTCTATGATTTGATGAAACTTCAAAGATATATATCTCCAACCACACAGGTTCCTTTAATGAAGCCAGAAGACAGATCTGAAAGGCGGGGTGGAGGGGGAGAAAAGATGCTCTTTAAAGAATAATTCAGGCGCTGCCTGGTGTGGCTCAGGGGATTGAGCACCAGCTTGCAAACCAAAGGGTCACCCATTCAATTTCCAGTCATGGTGCATGCCTGGGTTGCAGGCCAGATCCCCAGTAGGGGGCGCTTGAGAGGCAACCACACATTGATGTTTCTCTCCCTCTTTTTCTCCCCCCCTTCCCCTCTGTCTAAAAATAAATAAAATAAAAAAAAAAGAATAATTTAGCCTCTGGGGGGAAGAACATGCCCAGGGCCTCAACACATCTCTGCCTTCGAGTGAAAAGGCAAAGGTAAGAGAAATGTAAGCCTTCCCTTTTGCCTGCCTTGCTCTACCATGATACATGGGTCACTTTTAAAAGCGGGAGCTACAAGGTACGGGCAGTTGAAATGTGATAAAATGAAACCCCAGCTCCCCTCTCAAAAGCTGGATTTACCTTGTCATTTTTATGTTCATTTTTCTGTTTTATCCAAAGAGATTTACATAATGGTGTAGTCATTCAAATCTTTGGATGTGAGTAAAATATAACCCCCACATACTCATCAAGGGACTATCAGAAGCTGCATTTTTCAAATCGCACCCACCAAAAAGAATGAATTGCTCAAAATGTGGATTATTCTGAGTTAAATCTTGGAGTCACTGATGGGAGGATCTTTCTGCAGCACCTCTGCGCTGTGTTGTACATTTTGGGCAGTAGAACATAATGTGTACTGCCTGTAACATGAACTCTGACCTTTGACTAGTTTATTTACATTTCCATAATTTTATACCACTATTTTATTTCTCATGTGTGTACCCTTAAATCTGTTATCCTGTCTTTTTATCAAAGTGCATCGTATTTCTTGCCCCAAGCTTCTCTAAAATCCAGCATTTAAACTGTTCTGGAAATTAACATATTGTGGGAGCATATGTGCTTTGATTAGGGAAAAGTGCTAATTTAATTTAGTTCATTTTAATAATAAAAGTATGCCAATTTATAGTAAACAGGAGTGTGTTAGAATTGGAAAGTGCTCAACAACACCGTTAATTAGCAATCAGGCAGTGAGTCCCCCTTTACAGGGAGGGCTACGCTACAGACTTCCATTAAGAAATTCATTATGTGGGGATGGCTGGGGTGGGGGGCATGGCAGGGGGAAAAGGCAGACAAGTGTGCTTGAACACCAATAAAATAAAAATTAAAAAAGAAATTCATTATGATTGTGTTATATATAATTATTCCCCAAACAAAAGCTATCACTCGGAATTCCCAAAATCGAAAAAGGGTCACAGAGCAGTATTGGGGTTAAGGATAGATAGTAATTATGAGAATAGCAGCATATAAGCATGTGGTTTGAAAAACATATTTTCTTTTTTTTTAAAGATTTTATTTATTTTTATTTTTAGAGAGGGAAGGGAGGGAGAAAGAGAGAGAGAGAGAAAGATCAATGTGCGGTTGTTGGGGGTCATGGCCTGCAACCCAGGCATGTGCCCTGACTGGGAATTGAACCTGCTATGCTTTGGTTCGCAGCCCGCACTCAATCCACTGAGCTACACAATCCAGGGCTGAAAAACATATTTTCTAAGCATATGTTATCTTCAGATTTGTTGTTATTCAACATTAACTACATGGTCAGAGCTCTTGCATTGAAACCAGTCAATTAAGGGAACTACTCCAGGGTGGAGGTTGAAAATAGTATTGTGCTGTTTATGCCACAGGTTACATGGGTTGGTGTGTATCCAAAATGACTGTTTTCTCCTGGTTTCAGATAATATAGTCCTTTAACTAGAGTTTAAAAAAAAAAAACGCTTGCCAAATACCTGCCATTTTGGCCTGGGTTATTTTTCTAGATTCCCAATTTTCTACAATTTTAGAAAATGCTTAATTTCTCCTTAAAGACTTTAAGGAACGTGCTTGTTGCTAAAGGACATGAATACTAACATTGAAGGGAGAGGAGATAGGGTTCTGCTGCCTCTCTGAAAATGTTATGAATGTACCCTACCCTACTCAATGAACTGCCTGTGTCTTGTATATGCTACATTTACACTTGGGGTTTTAAAACTTGTTTAAAATTTAACTTCAGGAGCCCAGTATTAATGGAAAGTTGACTCCCCTCTCTTCAAAACCAGCTTCTGAGGCCACCTACTGGAGATTGCTGCCAATTTCCAGAACAGAAAATCCAAGTCCACTCTCCAGCCGTCTTCAAGCCAGGAAGCTGTGAGAGGAACACTTTCATTGTTGCTTTTTCTTCCAATGAGATCACCTTTCAACTTAGCATTCATGCCTGCCTTCTGGACTTCTGAGGACTATGAGAATGTTGATAAGGTGAATGCAACCATAAAGGCTGAAGCCGCCCATCTGGAGGCTCCTCTGTCCTCCACAGTGGCCTTGATAATAGTGTTGATAATTATTTTCTCATTGGTAATGACCTCCTTTGTGACATACTGTTTTCACAAGTGGAGGCTGAAGGGCCGCAAGCTGCAGAGAGCGCAGGAAGAGTATCAAAGAGATCAGGAGAAAAATATATTTCATAGCTTTCCTGATCTTATTTCCTAAAAACGCAGTCAACTGACATGTGAAGTGTACCATCTGTGACAAAGCCACGTAACATAATATGACAAGAAATGAAACAACATGAAATTGCAAGAAAGAAAGAAATTGGGCATGAAACAATAAAAAGGGACATAATATGAAATAAAACCCTGGGCAACAAAATGACATACTGCAGAACAACATGAAGAGAAAGGACAGAAGAATGACAATTGTACAGTGAATTCCAAAAGCAAGAGTTCATGTTGTAGCTGATCTGTTAATCAAGCTGTTCATTGTTTGAAAGCTGTCTATGGTTTTATTACAGGTTATAAGCAACTTGGTAGTAGGTTTCTTTTTGTCGTTGTTTTGTTGTACAGTGAAAGCAAAGCTATCACACATTTCCCACCTACATTTTATTTACTCTTCATCTTTGATTTGGTGGTGGGTGTGAGTAAATAGAAGTTCTGTACTGCTCATTTACTTACCGAGGCCGGGCAGCTGAATACACAGATAGGAATGTTGTTTAGTATCAGGCTCATAATGTAGTAATATCTGTCATGAAGATGAGAAAAAGTAAGTCTATAATCTTGGCACATGTAGCTGATATTTTAAGTACTGACTATAGCAAAGTAAGTAAATGTGCTGAATTATAAGCAATGTGTGTGGTTTTTTTTTTTATTTAAAGGGAGAGGAAAAAAGAGAACCAACTCCCAAATGACCAATTACCCCATTTCCCTGAAGTTCCCTGAAGTTTTTCTTAAGTAATGGCTTGCCTGAAGTTAATATTAATTAATGTTGTCCATGTTTGAAGCAGAATTAGTATGTGATAATAGTGCTGTATGTATACTTGTTTTGATAAGACAAAGTTGTCATTATAATGTGAATGAGATCATTTTAAGGCTTATGTGTTCAAGTAGTGTTGACAATTGAAATCTGAAAATTTTCTGGATGTTGTAAATGAAATCTACTAAGTAATATATAGATTTATTATAGAATGTATTGTGGAACATACCAGTTATTGGATATGAAAGCAAATAAGCAAGCAGTCATACTTTAAATATATGCATTATAAATAAAATGCTAGTATTTGGATGCTAACAAAGCAATTGTCTTTGTATAAAATTGTCATCATTACATAACGTAGAGAAGGGCTGGGGTTTGAGGTGGCTGGAAAGCAGTTTCTGCACACCAGAGGATGTCTGAGAAAGGAAGATGGAGTGAAATTGAAGCAAAAAGATTTCTATAGGACAAACACACGGTTTTAAAGTCTCAGAGAGCAAAAACAGAGATAAAAATACATTGTCTCTGTTCTCAAGGAACATAAATTGATACTGAAAATGAACACTTAGGACAAGAGGTGGGAACATTTACAAAGCACATATAAGGGGATTCAAATACATATAGTTAACCAAATTGCCTCTGGGCCTCACTAGCCAATAGATACATACACAGTCCATTAACATCAAGAGCATGGAGTTCTCATTCCCACTCCCACTTGCTAACAGGGGGCCTCCAATATATCTTACAACTTTACTGGGAGTCTCCCACGTGCGGGGGTGAGGAGCAGGGAAGGGGGCAATGGTGTTTGCAATCAATATTTCCGCTGTAGTCACAACACAGTGATCACCGTGTTTTCTTTCTCATGCATTGGTTACCATTTGGCAACACCTGCCTCCTGCAAAGCTGCTCCGCACAGTGATCACCGTGTTTTCTTCCTCATGCACTGGTTCCCATTTGGCAACACCTGCCTCCTGCAAAGCTGCTCCGAGGAGCCTCCCTGTTAACCCTTGAAGATGATGCCCATGATGTGGAAGCCAAGTGTGCACCACTGATGGTGTTGCTCACTTCCTACAAATCGCCACTCCCTGGGGTGCCAGAGTAGTGTGAGGCTCCATATGGAACTGACCAGAAAAGGACCTTTATCCAATTTCATGCCAGTCATTGTCACCTGGATTCCAAAACAGCATTGCTAGTTCCCACCTAAACAAAATGATTGTGCCACACCCTCCAAAACATCCCAGGCTTGCACCTGTGCGAGGTGCACTCTTTCCCTTGAATCTGACTCCCCATCTCTCCTGAGACCCATATCCCCCCTGGTTTTCCTGGTTACAAAACAAATTCCCCTCTCTCCTTCCAATATCAGTAAGTACAAAATGGACAATGGAAGAAAGTAGGAGAGGTTGTAACCATACTATTTAAGCCCCTTCCCCTCCCCCTCAAAAAAAACAAGCTGTTATGGTAGTTCAGGATGCAAAAGGCTATGCATAGTAAGAGACTAATGTAAGAGGTTGTATGAAGTTATAGGGATTTTATTCCCATAGAAGGATTTTGAATCATATTTTGAAGAAAAGGAAGAAAGTGATAAAAAGAGGAGGAATGGGTAAAAGAGGATTAGGATTCCTACTGGGATAATGACACTTGCAAAGCTTTAACTATTTGAAGCACACCCTCCCTTTTTCTGAGGCTTCTAAGGGACAGAAGGAGTTTGCTGTGGATGTGGCGTATCCACAGTGGCAAGTGATGCTGAAAGATGGGCAAGCTGAGCTGAGGGTCAAGGGGGAGCCTCGGTCTTTAAGGCAAAGAAGGCATCGAAATGAATCGCCCAGGAGAGGGGAAAAAGACTTCAGACAAAAAAGAGCTTGGGAATTAGTGAGCTCTGGGAAAAACGAGTCTGTGAAAAGTCAGTCCCAGGCCAGTCCTCAGGCCATGCGATGTCACCCTCAGCAGCTTTTTACATGCTTGCCCTATGTGCATACAGCTGAAACAAACAGAATTCAAATTTACTCCCAAGAATGTCACCAGCAAAAGGATTCTTGTCATCCCCCCTCCCAAGATGGACATCAGATTCAAAAGAAGGTTTACTGAAAACAAAGTAGAGGGCAGGAAGAAAGGGAGTTTTGATGCATCAAGGGAGCATACACGAACAAAGAATATGGCTGCCCGAAGTGCTGCCAGGGTCTGGCTTATATAGGGCTGCGTTCTTTACGCAGACATGGAGTAGATGCCTTTGCTTTCCCGGTTCCTGAGGTGAGTGGGTATCGACTGGCACAGCTGCAGAGCAGAGCTCTTGGCTTTTCAGGAACACTTTGCTTTTATGGGCAGGTGTCACCCAGCGCACGCACACACAGCAGAGCTCTTTGGGGAGTGCCTGAAGAGAACTTTTAAACTTCTCTAAGAGAGCCTTAAAAATAATTGAAGAGCCTACCCAGCCATTTAAAAGAGGTTCAGCCTAAGAATAACAGTTTTTTTTTTCTCTTTCATGTAACAATCCAATGCAAAAGTTCCACACCCGCTGGTGATGGTAGGATGAGGGGCTTGCTCATTGATGCATTCAGGGACTCAGGCTAAAGTTGGAACTGCTGTCTTCAACATATCACCTACAGATAAGAGCTCAGACTGGCCAACATCTTCATTTCAGCCTTGTGAGAGCCAAGACTTCTTGTCTTGTATGACTTGTAGGCAGTGAACCCAGCTGTACTCACCCAGACTTCTAACAATGAATTTTGAGCTAATGAGTTTTGATTTTAACTGCCAAGCATGGGGAATTTGTTACACTGCTCTAAAAAAAATAATAGAGTGGTTGAACAGAAACCTTTGGTACCCATATCCCATCCCCATAGACTACCTCTGAGTTTTAGCTACAGCTGTAATGGACAGTTCTGATTCCCTCCTAGCTGCTAGTGTCCTACCTCAAGAGCACACAGCATCTTTCTGAAATCTACCCTAGTGCTTTTTCTGTTGCTGTGGAGTTTTCTCAAAAGAACCCAGAAGTGAGTGCAGGGAAAATGAATGCTTCCCACAGGCGACCTTCCGTCAGTGGAGGAAGGGAAATGGGATTAGCTATATCATCGAGCCTCTAAAACAAATTTGGGTAGACAGTTCTGGGAGGCATCCTGTGTGCTTCTCAGAGATCCTAGTGGAATTGAACTTCTGTTGTCTAGAGCAATGACTTCAATAATGCATCTTTATACTTAATTTCCTCTTTCAATGTCTCTCTCTGCTCCCTCACTTGTGATTCCTGGGATCATCTCCTAAATAAATTGCTGTTTTTAAATATTTGTCTCAGGCTCTATTTTTGAGAGAACGTATAGAAGCCAATGATGCTGTAAATTAATATGTGAAATACTAAAACAGAGAGCAGGTATGATGGAGCAAGTAGAGATAATAATTTCAGCTTAGATATAATGAATTTAAGTGTCCTGTAAGACAGTAATCCATGGATTCATTCTTCTGATGTTAAAGGCTTGACAGGGAAGGTAGACTATGAAAGAGTTCTTTGAATGTCGGAAGAGCCAGTGCAGAGTGCTTAGAAGCTTATACTAAGCAGACCTAACCTAGCTATGTGTACCCTTAGAGGGCTGACTAGAGAAAGCAAGTTTTCAAGTAAGATCTTGTGACAGAATGGACCTGTCGGGGAGAACAAAATACTATTACCAAATGGACTCCCCCTCTTCTCCCAGGGTCCCCCTGTACTAGGTTCACCTTGCCCGCCACCAGGGAATAATATCTTTCAATGCCAGAGATTGGTGAAAAGGAAAGGAATTATTTATTCAAAAGTTATACAGACTTAGAGTAATGACTTAATGTCTTCATTGCAATCCCAGAGTCCCTTAAAACACCCAGAAACACATACAGTCCTTCATTCCCTCCTCTTCCCAGTCTGGGGTAGTGTATCTCAGGAAAAGAAATAGAAGTCCATGGCTCTGGTAGCCCCTGGTTCTTCCCAGTAATCCATGCTCGGCTGGCAGGCCTCTCTCAGTTCCTAGCACCATCAGCTGTGTCACTCTGCGATCTCCAGTTCTTAATCCAAACCCACGTGGCCCCTTCTCATGGCCCACCCGCAAGAGTCCTTTCACCCCTTTCCTTCCCACAGCGTCTCTCCTGCATTCTTCCAAACTGCTAAGAGACAGCTCTGCATCACTGCTACATCTTACTTTTCAGCTTCCTAAGCTGTGTGGCAAAGGGAGCCCCAAAGCCATGTGGTCCCCCTCTTTCTTGCCAATGCCGCAAGTTCTCCTCTTACTCCAAGCTCCCACGAAAGTCACACAACCAGGGAGAGATGCCTCCCAGTTGCATCCTGGGTGGAAGTCACTTCCATCTCCCTGGCTCAAACCTTGGCCACAGCTATTTAACATATCCATTAAACTGGTTAAAAGATATGTGAAATGACCATGCCTGAGGTTAGTTGCAAAACTGTTGCTATGCAGAACAGCTCTCAATGGCCCTGCTCCATGTGTCCCATCCCCCGGCTCAGACTTGTGGGGATGAGGACATCATTCACACACACACACACACACACACACACACACACACACACACACACACATCCTGGACACCCTGAGTTCTGGACCCCCATTACAAATCCTTCTTTGGGGCCCCCCTGGCTGCACCCTGTTACAATCTGAAGAATGAGAAGGTATTATTAGGAGACACTCAGGGGGAGAAGTGAGGGAGGCAAACAAGGAGAGGTCCAGGCAGAGAGAAATGTATGCAAAGGTCCTTAGGTAAGAAATAGCTTAAAACATTTGGTTATAGCTGTACTTTAGAACAAAAGAGTATAGTACAAAGTGAAGCTCAAGAGGGAGTTAGGGCCTGACCTTGCCAGGCTTTGTAAGCTATGGAGGGGTTTTCCATTTTTATTCTAATAATAAGATACACACAACTGGAAGCCACAGGGGTATTTTAAGCAAGACAGTGCCATCAGATTTGCATTTTAAAAACATCACTATAGCTGCTTTGTGGAGATGAATTGGCGAAGTGGGTAGCCTGAAGGCAGGAAAACCAGCTAAGAGACTCAATTCTAGGTAAAAGATGTATGTAGCTTAAATTAGTATGTTTCAGGGGCATCGGAGAGAAAGTAAACAGACTCGAGAGATACTCAGGATGTATAATTAATATCACTTGGTGAGTGACTACATGTGAGAGTGGGTTTGCAGGAGAAGGGTGCATTAAGGATGACTGCCAAGCATATGCCTAATCATCTGGAGAAATGGTGGTGCCATTTCTATACGGAATGAATAATGAAACCACATCGGTGTAGATGCATGTAATCCTTCAATATCCCCCTCCCTTCCCATTGCTCCAAGTTTGCTGTTCCT